GGGGAACCCCAGCAGTGGGAGGTTCACCTTCAGGAACACCAGCTGCTACACCAAAGCACGATCCAAGAGGGTGTGGTGGTGTGTCACAACATCCACAGCAATGCTGAACACTTCCTTGGTCAGTGGACAGGAGAGGTGTTCTCAGGCAACCGTGGCAAGAGCCTGCCACGCCTGGCTGTGGGTTGCCCAATAGACCAAGGGGTCGCAGTGTAGCAGCTCCACGTCCTCCGCAAGATAGGTAGCCACCGAGGCCTCCACACTACCTGCCCAATGCCTCTGGACCCCAACACTGAAGCCATGCCATTGACCCACAGTGGCAGCGGCTGTGGTGGAGGAGATTGGCTCGTGGTTGGACTGTTGGTATGGGAAAGTGGATCCCCCTCTTCCACAACCCCACGCTTCTGCCCTTCTGCCTCCCTGACTGTTCACCAGCACCTCCATCCAGTGATTGAGGGTTTTGCTGCTGCAAATGATCCCCTTCACCCTTGGGTTGCACATGCCCACCAGCATGTGGACTGTACTGGACCGCAACAGATCCAACCATTTTTTGATGCTCTTTCAGCTGCTTCACCAGTGCCTGCAGCTCTGGTGAAAGCGACTTGCTCCAGCCAGGAACATCAATCCTCTGGAACTTCTCCATTTCATTATCAAGCTCCTTCACTATGAGGATCACCTGGCTAAGGAAGGCATTGCCAGTGCTGAGGTTCTTGGTGACCTCGAGGAATGGCTTGAGGACCACCAAGATCTGAAAGATGGTATGCCACTCTGTTTTGTTAAGGGGGCCACTGATCCCAATCTCCCCGAGCAAGGCCATCTCATGGATGGCCTTCTGTAGCTCAACCAACCTTTTGAGCACCGGGTATGTGGAGTTCCACTGAGTCTCCACATCCTGCATGATTTTGTGTTGTGGGATGCTCAGCTCTGCCTGTTTTTCCCACAGCATCTTGCCTCCCCCTTGATGCTCCAGTGGAAGTAGCCTGCCACCTTCCTGCATTTTGAAATGAGATGGCTAGTAGTGATGGTGCCATCACCAGCAGCCCTGTCCCCCTCCATGGTGTCCCTGACTATGAGATGGAACTTGTGTGCCACACAAAGGATGCCAACAAAGTTGGCATCACGCATTGCCTTGACCATATTGGCTCTGTTGTCAGTGACCATGAACCCATGGATGAGCTTGCCTTGCCCAACAAGCCACCCCTGCACCATGCTGTTCATGGCCACTGTGATCTCCCTTGCTGTGTGGGACTCATCCATCACCTCCACTTGAAGGAGAGCTCACCCACACCCTAACTGATCATACCAGTGTCCTGTGAGGGAAAGGTAGGCATGATCTCCACCCCGGCTGCTCTTCACCACCACGGCGATGCTGCTGCATCTCAGGAAGCAGCACCCCCTTGCCCTTTTTCCTCCTCAGCTTGACATTTTTGGGAGCATGCTGAAAAAGAAGTCCCCCTCTCACTCCAAAGCCTCCATCCCCAAGAAGCAGAAGCAAGCCAATCTGGACCAGTGAGGGAAAGGCAGAGACAAAGCGGGGTGAGTTCCAAAGGCAAGTGAAGTGTCCTGGAGCATTGGGGAGATACTTTCTCTGGATGGCCAGCCCTTATCCTTTGTTGAGCGTCCAGGGTTCAGGTGGCTTATGGTGCTCGTGGCCCCATTGTATCAAGTGCTTGCATGCACCACCTATAGCAGAAGGGTGGTGCCCTCCCTGTATGAGGCATGCAGGGAGTATTTGAGGGAGGAGCTGCAGAACATAGGGCCGCAGGTGGCCTTGTACTTCACCTTGGACATCTGGAGCAGCTGGGGTGGAGATCATGCCTACCTTTCACTCACAGAATCTCTGAATCTCTTTGAATCTCTCTGAATCAGTTCAGAGGCTTCCAATTAGATATGGACTTTTTAATTTGATTCTGATTGGGAGGTTCAGCTGCCAAATCAGGCCAAATCTCCTCTGAATCTAATTGGCTACCAAAGTTTCTCACAGCCCTAATATATTATCATTTGTCTCCTACTTGCAGAGAGCAGAATTTTGAGAAATTAAGTAGTTTAGCCTCAATTAGCATCATGTAGATGGATAGTTTTAATTATATGAAAGACTCTCCTTCAAAAACAGGGTTTAAAGCCATAATTAAGATTAAAAAAATATATTTGCATGCCATATTATTTATTGGTTTAATATTTGCATTTGGTTTTTTATTTGGTTTTTAACTGGATGGAGATAATTGAATAAAAATGTAGTTCTCTAGCTTGCCTTCCAGAGGTAAAGAGGATTTTTGGGGGGGACGACATGCTTTTCACATGTGGCTTTCCCTAATTTCAACATTTCTCCAACACTACCAAATTAAAAAAGGCATTGTTATGTGCCATTTCTGAGTCAACACAACAGGAGTATTTGCTTTGGAATGTTAATATGTAAAAGGTATGCTGTGTCATTGATTACTTCTGTGTACAATTCATAATTTATACTTGCTGTCTCTCACTTCACAGTTAATGGGATTCACACTTAATAAGGTAAGATTTGCTCCTCCTTCAGCTGAAAGCAATGGAAGTGTTGCTGTTGACTTCTTTGGACACTTAAGTTGGCTAGTTTTTTTGCAGGTGCATTTAATTCTGTTTTTAATACTTTAAAAATTTTTCAGACTACCAATTCCTTGGGGTCCTAGACACTTTCTAGCACTACAAAAATAGTGTCATGGAAGTATATCTTTCTCTTAGCATGACAGAGTCACCACAAAGGTGTGCTCTCAAGCCAGTGGATGAAAGTAGCTGCTCTTTTGGTCCCCCTCCTCCCAAAAGAACTTGTTAATGAGCCTTATCAATGACTGCCTGCCTTCCTTCTTTAAGGGAAGGAAGACTCAGAAGGTTGTCACTGATCAGCTGGCAGCTGTTGTTGTGGTCTGCTGCTCCCAGGCCAGAGCACAACTTGTTTCTCAGATTTTTAGAACTCTTTTTCTCATTTTGATTTGTTTCTTTAAGGGAACTTTTAGTGTTTTTAAAAGTTATTCAATTAATCTTTTATGGAGATATGGGTGTTTTGTTTACAACTCTGGCAATAGTGGCACAAATTTATCTTGGCAGCATGCTGTAACCCTTAAAGAACATCCACCTTTCGTGGTGATAGTTCTTGGTTATAATTCAATCCACGACATGCATGCAAAATTTTCAGCCATAGATTCATAGATGCTAGGGTCGGAAGGGACCTCAATAGATCATCGAGTCCGACCCCCTGCATAGGCAGGAAAGAGT